TCCATGACCATGAGAAACCAGTGGGCAGCGTAGACTGACAGGTGCCTGAACTCAGCCCTGGCCTGCCAGGAGGACAACAGCTAGCATGAGTGGACGCTGGAAAGCCTGTGCTTGGGCACCGAGGTCCAAGGACATTAGATGTCAAGACCACAGTGCCACTCCTTAATGGGACAGGAGCAAGGCTGGGACCCAGAGGTCTGCTTGGAGGGTTGGGTCAGCTGAGCCCAGCGTGGCCAACTTTGGAGCAGCTGTCTTAGCAGAAAGAACTGTGTGGCTGTGGGTTCAGATCTCTAGGAGGAAGACTTGTGAGATGGTCAACTGCAAAGAATTCAGGGGAAAGATAGGTGTGGCTCATAGACAGCTTAAGATGGCCTGCTTGGTGCTTATCTTAGATAGGTCCCCTCCTCCAGGGCCTAGAACTGGTGTACCTGCCTTTCCTGCAGGTTACTGGGCTGATCTGGGACTCCATGACTAACTCTGGCTCCAGAGAGGGTGGTGCCACAGGGGCCACCTGGTGGCCTGGGGTGGGTTCTTCAGCCTCAGCCACAGTCTACTGTCTCTGGGGCCATCAGCATCCCTTGGCTCTGCAGTCCCCGCTAGGGGACATACTTTTTACCATGTCTTCCCTTGGGGCTTAGGGCAGGGTAGATGTGCATGTACCCCTGCTAGAACCCCGGTGTAGCTGTGGTCTGTGACAGGTTGTTACCAGTTTTCCTGTGTCTCTTTACAGGTACAACTTGACTTCGTCCTTCCCGCCGAGCGTGAGACATTCATCGAGCAGATGAAAGGTGTTATGGACAAGGCAGAAGACATGCTCAGTGGGGACACAGACGCTGACCACGGCTCTGACACAGGGACCAGCCCTCCACACCTGGGCACCTGTGGCATGGCTACAAGGGAGGTGAGAGCCCAGGTCCCCAGGATACAGTGGCAGATGCAGCAGATGGGAAGCTAGGAAGGAAGCTCTTGGTAAACATGGCTGCTGATCCCCAATCCCTTTTCCCCGTGCAGGAGAATGGACAGTCCCAAGCCAACGCTCCTGTGTACCAGCAGAACAGTGAGTCTACCCCTCCAGCTGCACCCGGTGGAGCAATCAGCCTCTGGGAAGAACTGTTTCTCTAAGTCCCATTGTGCTCTGCAGCAGGCATTTGATAGAAGTCCCCCATTGAACCTAGTGGCAGAGTTTTGGCCACCATACCAGAAGGGCTGCAGAAGTGAGTGATGAAGAGGGTCCCTCGGCTAGGAATGGCTGTCCTATTCCAGCTGCCGCCCCCCTCTGACTGACATTACTTCCTTCAAGGTTGATTCCATGGTTCATGGAAATGAACCCCAGCCAGGCTCCCATGAGTCTCCAGCTGCCAGTGAGGCACCCTGGGGTAGCTGCCTGCCCCACACGTCTGGGAGAGAGGAACAGGTAGGAGTCTCCCCCTGAGGCCGCGGCATCAAGGAGCCTGGAGGGCCACCTGAGTTGTGGAGGGAAGCTATTTAGGATTCTAAGTGGGAACTTGAGTCTCCTACCCACACCTTCCGGAGAAACAGATGGAGTGAGTTTCCTAGTGCCCCCCTGTGGGATCTGGTGTAACTGTGGGGTCCTCTGATCTGGAGACAATGGCTCCCTCCCAGCACCTCTCTCTGCTCTGTTTCTCAGTCCCGCACACGGGGAAAAGGTGGTTTATCGTCTGTCCAGTGGCTGAGCACCCAGCTGCCGAGAGTTCTGAATCTTCACCCCCACTTCCTCCAAGCTCCCTGCAGCCAGAAGCCAATCAAGTAGGAGCAGACAGCCCAGGCCCCCTCTCATGGCAACTCAGGGCCTTTTTCAGTGCAGCCTTGCTCCAGAGTGCTCCGGGTGCCTGGTGCCGTCCAAGGGATTCCCTGAAACTCAGAGTGGCCTACAGGGCACTGTTCCCATCCCTCCCTGTTGTCCACTGCATCCGCTATCACGGCAGCATTGGCCTGGGCCGGCCGTGTTATCTTCACTACTCAGGTTGAGAGGCCGGCCACGCAGGTGTGTGTTGACAGCTCTGGGGTCCTTCCTGCCTAATGCTTCCTAGTGACTCTCAACCACTGTCCTTGTCACCTCACAGCACACCTGGGGTGAATATGCGCTCTGCGTCCTGCTTTGCATGGGGAGTGGGCTGGGAAAGACCACTTCAGTTCTGAGACCACCTGATTCTCAGTTGTTACACGGCTTACACAACCAGCCATCAGTGCTATTCATCTGCACCTGAACCTACACCTCTCCCCACAGGTGGCTGCAAACTTGCCCTTCAGCACTAGTAGTTAAGTCTTGATCTTTATGGTATGTAGGAGGCTGAAACAGTCATTTGAACAAAGTTTAATTTCTCATCACTTGGCAAGAAAGACTCCCCGGTGCACAATTGTGCCAGTTCCTTCCAGAGCTCAGAAACTGCACGTTCTGACGGTTCTTCTGCGCGTCGCCAGGTGCCCGTACCACAGCGTTTCCATTGATAAAACGGAGGAAGACGTAACATGAGGACAGAACCTTCTAGGTGACATGGTGCTAGCCATGTGGCAGCAAGAACTGTGCACAGTGCCATGAAAACCCCAGCTTGGGCCTTGGTACCTCACTTGAGCAGCTGTCAAGGCATTACGTGGCGTCTGCAAACAACTGCGGAGGCGAATTCATCGACAGAGCTTCAGGTGGAGGCTCCTGTGTGTCTCTCTTCTGCTTGCTTACACAGCATCAAGGAGAGAGTGGACCACATGCTGACAGTGAGCAAGGCAGTTCTGACAGGAAGGAAACTGCCTGGTTTTTGTGGTGACGTTGGTAAGGCTGATAGAATAGTTACTATTCAGTTCAGTTATCAGAAAACCCTAAGGTGCAGCCCTACAATGAAAACAATGCTTCTTTTTAAGATTTTAAAAATATGTATCTTTATTTTATGTTTTGTCTGCATGTTGTGCAGTGTCTGAAGACGCCAGAAGAGGGCGTTGGATCCTTGAGTTACAGAGCGTTGTTAGCCATCATGTGGGTGTTGGGAATCAAACCTAGGTCCTCTGTAAGAGCAGCCAGTGCTCTTAACCAGACTCAAACAATGCTTCTGTTGGCCATGAGCAAAGGACTCCAGTTTCCTTTCTGATGGTTAATGAATGACAATTCTCGTCTCCCTTTGCTATCAAGTCTATAATCGGAATACCGCACAGCCAAGTGTGCCTATGCCCCAGGAGCAAAAGATTTTCACCTCCTAGAAAACCAATCCAGACCCCTTAAGAGCCTCACGTACAAGGTATAAAAGCTACTGTGCACCATCCACAAACAATCCAAAAACGAAATTAAGGAAACAATTCAAGTTGACTCCAGGATTAAAGTACAAAACTAGGAGCTGGGAGATGGCTTAGTTGGTCAAGTACTGGCCACTCAGCATGAGGATTTGAGTTTGGATTCCCAGCACCCATGTGAAAAGCCCGGCCTGGAATGGGGTATAGTGGGGATGGCTCAGTGGCAAAAAGACATTTGCCATCAAGCCTGAGGACCCGAGTTCAATCCCTGGACCCACAATGAAGGGCTAAGAACAAGTCATATTTTCAGACAGGCAGATAGGGAAAGGCCACTGATAAATAATGAAGATGGCATACTTCTGTTTTCTTGGTCTGCAACAAAAGCTAGGGGCTCCCCCTCTAACCAGGCAACCGGCTCAAACCAGGATTCAGTTCCCAGAACTCACGTGGTGGCTAACAATTGTCCTTAACTCCAATTCCAGGGGCTCTGACGCCCTCTTCTGGCCTCTATGTGCACTGCACAGCCTTGGTGTGCTTAATGCACTTCAAATACTCATATGCAAAACAAACATCTGTAATTGTACATTTGGTCTTCAAAATTTGCATTACATCCCCACAACACAGATTTACATGCAATCATCAACTGCAGAGAACAGGCGCCTCTGTGATCCTGATAGGTCTTCATCTAAGGAAATGACGTACTTCTAGAAGATAAAGCTATTATTTACAATGCTGAAACACCAAAATACTTCAAGTAAATCTCTTTATTTTTTAGGAAAAAGACGTTTTTTTTTTTCATATTTTAATTCTTGGCCAAAATTTCAGTTCTTTCCAGGGGAACCAAAACCTCCTGTCAGCCAAAAGCCTGAAAGGTATCAGCCAAAGCCTGAAAGACATGACAGAAAGCGTAAGCTACATGTTACGTCCTCCCTTGGTCTCCAGGCTCCTAAAGTCCTTGCTACACCATCTGCTACTGTCTAAAACGCTGCCTAAGATCAGCATGAAAACATCTCAAGAGTTTAAGCCTAATAATTTAGCCACGCTTCAACAGCACTTGTCACACACACTATTCAGTTACAAATAAACTGTCAGACACACTCGCTTTGTTCCTGATGTCAGCCCTGTCATTCTCCACTCAGCTTTTACACACTTACCTGAACAACTTCTAATTCTGGATAGAAAAATCCGTTCACAAATGAGCTGCATAATTCAATCACCTTTTTTTACTTCAAAGAAAAAACAGACAGATCACTATTGTGATGAATTGATATGTTCTCTGTATTCTATCTTAGTCAATGAGAACCCACAGTCAGTTCTACTGATAACTCATACAATGGATAACTCAGAAAATTTATTATGTGTGTGCATGCATATATTTAACTCACCTTCAAGCTTCTCCTTCCCAAAACTAAACAGCACAACACCACAGGCACTAAATCATAGTGCACTAAAAAGACATTGATGTAATTGATATTTGTTTATAAACTGTTCTCAACATTCTTTCCTGTGACAATGCATTTAGAATTTATACATATATTTAGTAACTTCACACAATCTTAAGTCCTATAACTAATTTTATAACAAATTATTAATTCATCTAAAATGTTTTATTACACAGGTACTAGATTATTTTGTTTTAGCATAAAAAGACAGCTGAAGGTGAAAGTTCTCTGTACGTTTTACGGTGGAGGAAAAGGTCAACACTGCCACTGCTGAATATTTCTGTGTCTGAAAGCAGTTGTTGGGAAGCCGAGGACGGTATCAGCATGAGGTGCAGAAATGGAGACATTAATTCATTAACACGGTATGGAGAGAGAATAGACTCAAATAAAGGGGAGCTGATAGCTAAGGCTGATGAGGCCCTCACTCCACGCCAGGCACGATTCTAGCGGGTCAAAACTAACTCATCTTACTCTCAGAACAATCTGTGAGGAAGATGAAGCCGCAGAGGAAAACATTAAGAGGAAACACGGGCAGGAGGTAGAGCTGTGTCACACCTGTTCTGCAAATGTACCAGAGCATGGGCGTGAATGCCACTGGCTGAAGGCCAGAACTAATTTGTAAACGGTTCCTGCAGCCAGACACCACTGAACCGGATTCTCTAAGGGCCACCCAACAGATGCTAGTGTCGTCATTACTGTGGCTCCTTCCCAGACAAAAAGGTAAGAAATTTTACAGCACTGGAAGTCACTCTGGAGACCTCAATAATTTCCACTGTTTATACATTACTTATTTCCACATGGACGTCACAAAGGTATTTCTGTAACATCTCCCGTGAAGGTTTGGGTCGGGCTGCAAGGGCTCTGGATGCAGGGCCTCCGGGTGCGGGGTCTGGGGATGCGGGGCCTCCGGGTGCGGGGTCTGGGGATGCGGGGCCTCGGGGTGCGGGGTCTGGGGATGGGGGACTCAGCTGCAGGGGCTCAGCGCTGGCTGGCCGAGGCGCGCTCATCTGTACAGCTAGTAGCCTACAGCGCGGGCGGACCCCGGGTGGACG